AACTACCAAGGCTCCTAAGCTATGGCTCCTAAGCCAAACTCACGCTAGTATTTTGTTACAGTGGTCCTCACTGGGCACGCGGACGCTTCTTGGGCTGACGACCAGGCTACGCAGCGGTCGTCGCAGGGTTACACCTTCAGTCTTGGTTCCGGCTCTGTCTCGTGGCGGGCTACTCGCTCGTCCTCTGTTCTCGGCTCCAGTTGTGAGGCTGAGATCTACGCCGGGGCCATGGCTGCACAGGAGCTTCGTTGGCTCACCTACCTGCTGACTGACCTTGGAGAGCCGCCTCGTTCTCCTCCAGTGCTGTACGTAGATAACAAGGCCATGCTGGCCTTGTGTCGAGAGCAGCGCTTGGAGCACAGAACGAAGCACATTGCTCTCCGTTACTTTCTTGCTCGTGAGCTGCAGCAGCGTGGTCAGTTGCGACTTGCGTACGTGGCCTCTGAGGCCAACACTGCTGATGTGTTCACCAAGGCACTTGCGCCTTGTGACCATCAGCGCTTCTGCACTCAGCTGGGTCTTGTACCTGTCTTGCCTCACTTGCTCTCCTCTTGACCTTGCTTGTACTGTCACATATATATACCTGCTCTTGCTTGTCTAGCTCTATATATATATGTGCACTCCTGCATGTGAACTGGCCTTGTGGCCTTGTCGTTGTGCTCGGACTGTGTGGTGACTTTGTGATCCACCCTGAGCTTGCTGTGCTTTGCGTGACTGGTCTTGTGACCCCTTGTTCTCCCCCACTTTGCCTATGGGGGTGTGTCAGAACATATTTATAGCTTATGCTGTTGTGTAGGCTATAGTGGGGTATCCCATAGGGGGTACAACCCAATTAGGGTTTTCTATATGTACTCACTTCATTCATAGTTCATTCATTCTTGTTCAAATCTTCTCACCGCCCGCTCTTAGATAAGTGCGTCATCGTATACCTGGACGACATACTAATCTACAGCCCTGACAGAGCACAGCACTTACAGGACATCGAAGCAGTTTTTAAAATACTGAGTGAGAACCGCCTACTGACAAAAGCGTCTAAGTGTGAGTTTTTACAGGACTGCCTGGAATTTTTGGGACACGTTATTTCAGCTGCAGGAGTGGAAATAGACCCGAAGAAAATTGCGACGATTCAAGCATGGCACGCGCCGACCAACTTGGCCGAGTTGCAGAGTTTTTTAGGGTTCGTCAACTACGTGCGCCGGTTCGTCCCCGACATGGCGAAGCTGACTGCCCCGCTGACAGACCTGCTGAGGAAGGGGGTTGAGTACAAGTGGGGGGAGAAAGAGCAAGCTGCCTTCTCGGCCCTCAAAAACATTTTGTGCTCATCGCCCGTGCTTCACATCGCAGATTCACACCGTCCGTTCGAGCTCGTCACTAATGCAAGTGACATCGCTGTGGGAGCAGTACTGTTGCAGGATTTCGGGAACGGCCTCCAGCCAATCGCATACGAGTCCCGCAAGCTGCACCCGCCCGAACGCAACTACCCGATACACGACCGCGAAATGTTGGCGATCGTGCACGCGTTCAAGGTTTGGCGGTGTTACCTGATGGGCGCCGACGTGACAGTACGGACAGACCACCGATCACTACAGTACCTACGCGCCCAACCAAATCTCAATCCGCGACAGATCCGCTGGTTGGACTAACTTCCACTACACGGTTACGTACAAGAAAGGCGCATCCAACATCGCCGACGCACTCACTCGCCCTACCGCCCAACTCCATGCCATCCTACTCGCCCAAACCAACCCGCTTTTAACAGGCCTATTCACCCACGGATACCGCACCGACCCGTTTTTCACGGCCGGAAATTCACAGCAACTGGCAGAAGCTAAAGGAGTTTATTACGTAAAAACAGGCACCAGCCGCATCTGGGTACCCGCGTACTCACTACTGAGGGAGCTGCTACTGCAGGAGGCACACGACGGAATTACCTCGGGACATTTTGGGGTAGAAAAAACGCGACAGCAACTGCAGCGGTATTACTACTGGCCGGAGCTGTTGATCGACGTGCAGGAGCACGTGGGCTCGTGCCCCACGTGTCAGGTGATGAAGAGCTCAAGGAAGCGGAAGGCGGGTCAATTGCAGCCGATACCACCGCCCGAGCGCGCCTGGCAGCAGGTTACCATGGACTTCGTCACAGGGTTACCTTCGAACCCTGGGGGTAACGACGCGGTGATGGTCGTCGTTGACAGGTTGACGAAGGTGGCACACTTCGCTGCGTGCAAAAAGTCGATCTCAGCCGAGGAGACCGCTCGTCTGTTCATCGCAGCCGTTGTTCGCCTGCACGGGATACCAGCAGCGATTATCAGCGACAGGGACACGAAGTTCACCAGCAACTTCTGGAAGAACCTCTGGGAGCAGTTCGGAACCAGGCTGCAGTTCAGTTCGTCGTACCACCCCGAGACCGACGGTCAAACGGAGCGGACAAATCAGACGATGGAGCAGTTGATTCGTGCCACATGCGACGACCCCACGACTTGGGAGCAGCAGCTGCCGCTGATCGAGTTCGCGTACAACAACGCCACGTCAGCGACGACGCAGCAGTCCCCCTTCTACCTGAACTACGGGCAAAATCCTACAGTGCCCATGACGCCGAGTCCGGACAACCCAACACCACGCGCACAGCAATTCGCCGAAATTCTGCAAGCTGCCCGCACCAGAGCCGCAGAAGCAATTAAAAAAGCAAACGTCATTGCTAAGCGCAACGCTGACCGCCACCGCCGCCCAGTCACATACCAGTCAGGGGATTACGTACTGCTCGACACGCAAAATCTGCGACTGCCCGACGTACCAAAACTTCGACCGCGCTACTGTGGCCCATTCCAAATCAGCCACATGATCACGCCAGTAACCGCGCACCTACTATTACCAACCGACTGGTACATCAGCCCTTCGTTCCACGTCAGCTTGCTTCGCCCATACATCCCAACCACAAGCCAACTGCCTCGCCACCGCCCGCCATCCATGACTCGCTCTGCATCAGAGCCGATCATCGAACCCGAAAAAAATCTGAGTCATCGGATTCGCCACCCTACGGGAATCAGGAGGATTGAATTCCTCGTTCGCTGGAAGGACTGCACGCCAACTGAACATAGCTGGGTGCCCCTGGCCAACATTGAAAACCACCCTGCCCTGCAAGTGTACCTGAGGAGCCGGGGATTCCGCGATATACATGCACTCGCGTAGCGGAGGGGGCTTCTTGAGGGGGGGGGTAGTGTAAGGAATTTTCTCGGCATTCCTTACGGAGCCCGACTACATCGCGTACAGCAACATCCGTTGTTCGCCCGTTACTGCTAACGGGACTTCGCCAACTTCGCGCGCACTGTTTTGCCAAACCTCGCACTGCTGGCCCGGCCGTGTCGGCCTACGCTTCGGGACTAGCCCGAGCCTTGCTGCCAGCATAGCACTAGCTAGCTCGCACGCACCGCGTTACCGTTTGCATGTTTCGCGTATAAATGTTCGCTCATGCCTTCGCTCACATCTTTGTACTCGTTTTGGCACCTTAGTGCAATTCTAGCTACTTCGATTCATTGCACCCGTAACAGGAACACATTTCCACAGTCCAAAGCAGCAGAAATGTATGTTTTTGTGCCTTTCCAGCAGGCTCGACTCGGCCCACCAACCTTGGTGCTGCTGTTCGCAGCGGCAAAGAAAAGCTAGCATGCATCTCCCCTTCCCTTCCCCTTCTCCCCTCCCAATTACACCGCAAACCTATTTCCCGCGCGCGCGGCCCCTCAGCCCACCTCGTCCTCCCCCCTCTCCGTTCCGCCACCCAAATTTCTTGCGCTACAGTTCCATTCCGCCACGACCCAAGCGCATTCGCTCCCCCTCCTCCGCTCCACCTCCCCCACTCCCCTTCCCCCCGCTACACCTCAGTGGACCAATCAGCCCATCATCCTGCCGCATCCATGGCAGCCATGGCGACTTTTTTCACCCACATCATGTCATGTGCACGCCCTCCAGTCCAGTATCTCCACCCACCCCACCCACCTCTGCTCCGCGCCCTGTTGCATGAGCAAGTTCAACCTTGACTACCTCCCTAATTACTCTGTTCCGCCTTTGCAGTGTGTGGCCTTGATTGTCCCAACCACAGGGATCTAACAACGTCCCGTCAGTTCTCGTATACGTAGTAAGGGGACTGGCTTTTGCACAAGACGACGTGCAGGTGTGAGCCTGAGGTTGTCGGTCTGGACGTTAACAGTGCGTTTTTGTGAGTAAAATCAGACGGGCGTAAACACGACCGAGTGCGTGGCCAAGGTCGCAGTAGCCCGCCTCTCCCCGATGCGCGTGCTCCACGAGCGACGCTCCCAGCAGCTTAGTACCGGCGTCGTCCCAGTTGGCCGTGCAAAGCCGTTTTTTGACCGGGCGAGCCGAATGTGGGCTGGTGCGTTTCGGCATCACCGTTAGCCGCTTATCCTCACCGGTTTCCCGCCAATGGCAGTGCGTTAAATCCACCGTGCTTCGTCAGCGCAGCTATATCGCCAGTTCGCGCCCCACATTGCGCGGCCGGACGTGTGACATGGCTGCCAGCTGGCGTCCACGTCATCATATTCAGACGGTGACGATTCGGGCGTTCTCTGCTGCTGTCTCTGCCTAGTAATCCCTTTCCGTTTGTTCCTCTCGTCTCTTGAATTCTCCATTATCCCCGCGTTGCTTAAGGACGAGGAACACGAAGCCGACGAGGGCCGATGGCGAATGCAGGCGAGAGTACGATGAAAGAAGGATCGGCTCGTAGATTGACGGAGCGCAGGGATGCCGTAAGCGCAGCTGCTAACGGTATTATCGATGCCCATGCGAAGGCTTCGGAGACTAGCGAACACGCCGACGAGTTGGCAAGCGACGGCAGCAACAGCAACGGCAACGGTAACGGTAACAGGAATACCGACGTCGATACCGCAAGCACCAGCAGCGGCGATAGCGGTATCAAGGGCAAGCCGAGAGAGCACGGGGGAAGGCAATCGGGCGCAGGCCCCGCCTTCCGCCCGAACCAGCAACTCCCCATGCCCACGCTCAACCGCGCCCGCTTCGGCCTCCCCGCCATCTGCCTCGATCTCGCCGTGCTCCCCAGCGGCTCCGCCGGCAGCCCCAGCAGCGGCAGCAAGGCGGCGCACGCCCGCGCGGGCGCGGACGGGCGGTTCGCGCGGAGCGCGAGCAGCGGAAGCAACGCGGAGGAGGAGACGGGGGAGATCGTGGGGACGGAGGAGGAGCCGATGGACGTGCGCGCGCGCAAGCAAAAGTTTCTCTTCTTCGAGAAGGAGTGCTCGCAGATCATGGCGCACGTGTTCGTGGGCAGCGACGCCGTGGCGCGCGACAGGGAGATCCTGCGCAAGTCGGGCATCACGCACGTGCTCAACTGCGTGGGGTTCGTGTGCCCCGAGTACTTCCCCGGCGACATCACGTACAAGACGCTCTGGCTGCAGGTGTGCCGCCGCCGCCGCCTTGTTGCCTCCTCCGTCCCCCTCCCCCCCTTCCGCCCGATCTGACGGAATGGTTGTTAGATTATTTTTCTCTTATTTTATATTATTTCTTATCCTGGCGGGTCGGGGGAGAGGTGAGGTGGGGAGGCAAGTAAGTCACGTTTACTAAGATACGCCAGGCATTTCGCTCCGTGTGCAACGTCGATCGTACTGGGTGGGAGCGCAGCTACGTGCGTGTCCCCCAGGATCGAAGCGACGTCACAGCTGCCCCGCTGTCGTGTGGCAGCGTCACTCTGGCGCGCGCTGCGTTCCGCTGCTCCACTGCCATCCCTGCTGCTCTCCCTACTCCCCCCTCGGCCGCTCTCCCCTGTGTCTCCCCCCTCCATCCGCCCAACTCCCGTCCCCCCATCACAACCCCCCAACGCCGGAAATCATAGGATGCGTGCGACTATCGAATCGACTCGAAAATCCTTCCCCAAATCCACCCTTCCCCTCCGCCCCCCTGCGCCCATATCCTCCCCCCAACCAGGACAACACGTCGGACGACATAGGTGCGTGCGACTCTCGAATCGACTCAGAACTCCCCCATCCCATCCCGCCACCCTCTCCCCTTCGCCCCCATGCGCGCATGTCCATCCCCACCAACCCACCCATCCAGGACAACCCGTCGGTTGACGTCGCGTGCGTGCTGTGCGACGTGTTCGACTTCATTGGGGCAGTTCGGGCGGGTGAGAGTGCTAGTCATTACACCCGCAAACCTCTCCAACCACCCATCTCCACCCATCGCTACTACCTTCATCCTTCCTCCCCCGCCTCCCCTCAGGACAACACGTCGGACATATCGTGTGTGCTGTACGACGTGTTGGACTCAAAACTCCCCCATGCCCGCATGTACCCTTCCCCCCGCCCCCCTTGCGCCCATGTCCGCACCCTTCCCCACCCCTCCCCCACCTCCCCACAGGACAACACGTCGGAGGACATATCGTGCGTGCTGTACGACGTGTTCGACTTCATCGAGGTGGTGCGCGAGGAGGCGGGCCGCGTGTTCGTGCACTGCTGCCAGGGCGTCTCGCGCTCCACCTCACTCGTCATCGCATACCTCATGTGGACCGAGGTATGCCGCCTCTGCCCTCCGCTATGCTGCCCTCCCCTGCCATGCCCTGCCATGCCATGCCATGCCATGCCATGCTAATTCACGCGATGCCTCGTGCCACGCCATGAGACGCCGTATCATAGCATGCATGCCATGGCACCTGCCCATCCATCGCATGTCACGCCATCGCCAGGCGATCCCATGCGCATGCCGCGCGCCATGACACCCTATGTCGCGATGCTTCATGCTGCCACTGCGCCAACTGCTGGAGATGTGCATGGGTGGAAGGGGAAGTGAATCTAGGGGGGGTGAGGTGATGTGCAAGAGACTGGGGGTATGCACCCGTTCCTAATGGCGAGAGGGTCAAATGATCTCCACCCGTTCCTAACGCGCGTCAAGCGTGAGATTATGGCATAAGCGTACGCGCGCTGCTGCTGATGCGCCACTGCGCATCTCTTCTAACTGCTCGCCGCCTTGCCCTCGCCCCCTTTCCGTTCGCGTCCCTCGCCCTTCTTCAAACCCTTCAACTCTCCCTTCTTCCCCCTCCCCAACCACTTTTTCCCTCCCGTCCAACCCCTTTTTCCTTCCTCCGCCCTTCCCCTCCGCCTCTCCCCGTCCCCCGTCGTCGCCCTCCACGCGCGCGCTTCGGCGAGCGCAGAAGCGCGGGTTCGAGGACGCGTTCCGGTTCGTGAAGGCGATCCGCGGCGTGGCGAGCCCCAACATGGGCTTCGCGTGCCAGCTGCTGCAGTGGCAGGAGCGCGTGCTCCCGCCCTCCGCGCTCCCCCCCGCGCACCAGCCGCTGCTAGACGACGGCCACGACGACGACGCCGCGGGGGGCAGCAGGCAGGACGGGGAGGACAGCCAGGCAGCGAAAGAGGAGCAAGAGAGGGAGAGGGAACGGGAGAGGGAGAGGGAGCGGGAGCGGGAGAGCGTGGTGCGCGTGTACCGCATGGCACCGCACTCGCCGTACGATGGCGTGCATCTGGTGCCCAAGGCCGTGCTGGACGTGGGGCCCCGCTGCCTCGACCCCCGCGGAGCCTTCGTCATCCAGGTATATGCCTCTCCCTCCCCCTCCCTCGTTCTCACCCTCTCCCTCTTCTCTTTCTCTTGTCTTTCTTTTGAAGTTCCGCCGTGGCTGCTCGTCTATGTGCCTCTCGTTCTCGCCTGCCACAGCGCCCTCCCCCCCCTCCCTTTGCCGCCTTGCTCCTCGGGCTCAGCTCAGCCCTCCGCTGTGAACTATCCGTCGCTTGTCAGTCGTCAGCTTTGTCACCACCAAGAGCCTTTTCGGCTTCCCTTCCCGCCCTCTCTTCCTCCCTTCAAACCCCATCTACCCGCCTGGCATCCCCCCTAATCTCCTCCCCCCGTTCTCCCTGTCTTCCCACTCCGCGCCCTCCCTCCCTCCACTCTCCTTCCCCTGCCACTCCGCCTGCACTCCTCATTTCCTTCTCCCCCCATCCCCTCCCCTCTCCCCCTCCACCTTTCTATCCCCCTCCCCTTCCCTTTCCCCTTCCACCTCCCCTTCCCCCATCCCCACGCCCGCGCCCGTTCCGCAGGTGGGGCGCACTGTGTACACGTGGAAGGGAAGCCAGTGCCACCCGCTCATGGCGGAGCAGGCGGAGCGGGCAGCGCGCCAGCTCGTCACATACGAGGGCCTTTCCCCCCACTCCCCCTCCCCCGTGCTGCAAGGCGCGGAGCCCGCGCCCCTGCTCTCCGCGCTCCACTCCCACGCCTCCCGCGCTGGCAGGCGGGCGGGCGCGGGCGGCAGCGGGGGCGGCAGCAGCAGCAGTGAGTGGGCGGCGGTGATAGAGAGAGAGGGGCTCACGTATATGGGGCAGGACGCGCATATGCTCGCGGGCGCAGGGAGCAAGTCTCTTGCTGTCAAACCCACGATTCCCAAACTGGCCTCCATCCCTGGGAGTCAGAGCGCTAGGAATAGCAGCAGCAGCGGCAGCAGCGGCAGTTCAAGTAATAGCAGTAGTAGTAGCGGCAGTAGCGGCAGCAACGGCAGCAGCGGGAGTAGCGGCAGCTGCAGCAGCAGCGGGAGCAGCGGGAGTGGGAGCAGCAGCAGCAGCGGGGATGCAGCGGGGTGGGGCCCAGTGGCGGAGCAGCAGAGCGAGTACGACTATGACTACGAGTGCTTCCTGCGGGCGCTCGAGGGCGGCACGCCCAAGCCCATCGCGGGCCTCGCTTCCCCCAACGCCAAGGTGCTGCCGCACCATGGCAGGGGGTGGCTGGGCGCCACGCTCGATGACTGCTGGGCCGCACTCGCTGCAGGGGGAGGGGGAGGGGGAGGGGGAGGGGTTGGGGAGGGTGAGAGTGGGGGTGGCGGAGACAGCAGTGAGGGTTCCGCCGTTCGTCTGCACAGCCGGTCGTTTTCCGTTGGGCACGCCACCCTCCCCTCGCTGTTCCCTGTTCCGCCTGCCTCCGCCTCCGCCTCTGCCGCCTCCGCGTCATCCAAGCCTTCTAAGCCGGGATCGTTGTCCCTGGGCGCAGACTCAGGAGGAGGGGGAGGCGCTGCCTCGAGCAAGCTCCTCTTCGCGCCTGTGCTGCGCAAGCCTCTGCCGTCGCTGCCGTCACCGTCGTCCTTCTCCCCGCGCTCCCTGGGCTTCTTCCCGCCCTCGGGCGTGGGTGCGTACGGGGCTGCGCTGCAGAAGTATAGTCCCGAGAAGAAGGGCGAGGGGGGCGTTGCGGGTGCTGCTGCAGGGGCAGCAGGCACGTTGGCGGGCAGTGGAGGCAGCAGCAGCAGTAGCGGTAGCAGCAGCGGGGGCAGCAGCAGTATTAGCAGCAGCAGCAGCAGCAATACCAGCAGCAGCGGTAGCGGTCAAGCGTCGTCTAGGCTGGGGGGCGCAGGGAAGGCTCCTCGAGGTAGCAGGCTGCAAATGTCCACAGGGGGGCTCGCAGGCTTGCAGGGCACGGGCGGAGCCAGTGGCGCGGGCGATGGGGACGGGGTGGCGGGCGGGCAGGTGGGCGCGGAAGCGAGAGGCGCGGGGGAAGCGGAGGTGCACGCGCTGGGCGGATCCGCGCTGAGTGACATGAATACCGCCGCAGTGCAGGGGGCGGGGATGGGGGCGGAGGAAGAGGACGAGAGTTCGGGAAGCGGGGGTGGCGTTGGGAGGGTGTCTAAAGGGGGAGGGGAAGCGGGCAGCTGGATGCTGTCGCCGCGTGGGCCTAGGAACACGCCCAGCAAGCTGTGGGAGGCGGAGGAGGCAGGGCAGGGTGCAGCAGTGCAGGAGGAGCGGAGAGAGAGGGAGGCGCGGACACGGGGAACCCGAGGAGAGGGGTCAGGGACTAGGGAGCGATCAGGTGCAGCGTCTGCTCGGCCGCTCCCTCCCAAGCCTTCGCTTCCCTCTGGCATGGTCCCTGTAGGCAATGCAGTCCCCTCCGCTGCCTCCTCCTCTGGCGCTTCCCGCGCCACCCTCCCGCCCAAAGGCCGGTCCGCGTCCCCTCTGCGCCCCCCCCGCCCCCAGCAAACCACTGGTGGTGCTGCTGCCCCCAGAGGAGGGGGTAGAAGGGTTGGTGTGGGTGGGATGGCTGATGGGTTCATGGATGGCGGAGGGGGGAGGGAGGAAGAGGATGACGAGGACGGGAGTGGGGATGGGAGAGGGAGGGACATGTATGGAGCGCTGCTGACGCCTAGAAGGAAGCCTCCTGTGTCGGCCTTTGGAAGGGAGAGGGGGGCGCGGAAAGGGAGAGAGGGAGGGGAGGGTGGTGGGAGGAGAGGGCAAGGGGGTTTGGAGGAGGACAAGTGGGGAGGTGATGGGGGCGAGAAGGGGGTTGGCGGCGGGGGCTTTGGTGGGGAGGATGGTGGGTTTGGTGTGCCTGGGATGGAAGATGACGGGGAGAGTGCGGGGATGGGGAGTGATGATGAGAGTGGTGGTGGAATGGCGTTTAATCTGCCCACGCCTAGAAGGGGCGGACCACAGATAAAGAAGATGTTTTGAAGGGAGTCGAGCGTTGGAGAGTCGGGGAAGGGCAGGAACAAAAGAAGACCTCTTTATTTTAATCTTATGTGATGCAGGAGAAGTGTGCGAAGTGCTGCAACGGCGGTAGCAGGCCCGAATTAGCTCGTTGCAGTCTGGGTTGGTGCGGAGTGGAGGGGTGGGCGCTTGTTAGAGGTGTTGTTGTGAGCAGTAGAGGGATCAGCAACAGAGAGGTGCTGTGGTGTTGCACCCACACTCTTTGGGACCAGATAGCCATGCAAGTAAGAAAGCGAGAGAGTCCAGGCAACACGAGGAGCCCTGCACAAATGCATGCATATGGAGCAGAGGGGATGGGGCCGAAATCCACAAGTTGACAAGGGAGACTTGGTCATCTACCGGACGACCCCCAAGGGAGAGCCCGTGGTGGTTGTGCAGAGCAATCGCTTGGCATGGTAGTTGATTTGTGCAGAGCAATTGCTCGCGAGTCGCGTACGAGTACCTGTAGCTTGGTGTGTACTGCTCGTAGACCTGCTCTGCATGTGTTTACGGTAGGTATTTATATGGGATTGGTTGGTGTCCTCCTTTAGCTTGTTTGTTAGTATAATAATAGCAGCTTTTTTATTTCAACCGGCTCTGCGTGTGCCTGCCTGGTGGTTAGTCAGATGAAACCAACGAGGTGTTGCATTGCAAAATGAAAAATTTCTAAGCGTTTATCGCTTTCAAATTTGCGTATTGTGAAAGCGAAGCTGACTGTAACGCAATTTCGCGCATCGTCGAAGCGCGGTATTCGCCTTCTCTGAATATATAATGTGGGCTGGGGTGGGGTAATTCTTCCCCCACCCACGTCTCTCATTTTTACAATCGCTCAAGTTCAATTCCCACCCACCCTCCCCATGCTAGTCATCTTCAGAGAGTAGTAGTTCTTAGACATTTTGGATGTGATAGTATATTATTATTATTGCTAGGAACCATTGTACTTGAGCACCATTGTAATGAGAACGATGCCAATTGCTACAGAAGCAAACTTTCTCAATTGACTGGTTTTGTGCCATTAGAAGGGGGGGGGGGGGTCACTATTCTAGCTGCTGGCTTTAAACATCATGGCAGACAGTACAGTATGGGTGGAAGATAATCCACCACACTGCCCTAGTCATTCCCCTCTGGTAGAGGGGAAGAGGGGGGGGGGGGAGGGGGGATGTATTTACACTTTTACACTGTCTCATTGTTTATCTCATGTTATATACAAAACCCCAAATGCCCATCGTACGGCCTGAGCACATGTTGGCTCGTTATCCAATGAAACCATAATGCTCTCACCACCACATTCAGCTAGTACTCATCATTTTGCTTTGCCGGCCATCTTCACCAGTACCACAGCACAGTACCTCAGGTAGCAGCAACGCCAGCCACTCATACAGGAACATGCTGTACCACATTGCTTCTTCTACCGGTAACGAACGAGCATCCTCTACTCTCACGGCAACTAGGCAGCACCAGGCTTGTTAAGCCCCCGGAGCATCATGGCAGCACGCACAACCACCCACTTCTTCTTGCCCTGCAGCACCGGGTACGGCATCATGGGCATCTGCACATCCCCCTGCACCTCCAGCTCCTTCTGAATGAGCGCCGCCCTCGCCTCCTCTCCCAGCTCCACTCCCTCACTCCTTACACTCCGCACACTCACCCCACTATCCACTGCGGCCACTGCATCAGCTGCTGCTGCGGCTGCGTCTGCTCCGGTGACCGAATCAAAGGAAGAGGCTGTGAGGTGTGCGAGGTGCGCGGCGCGCTTGCGCACGGACTGCTGCACAAACTCGACAAAGAATTGAGGGAACCCGGGGATGCGCTCGTACCCAGGCATGTAGTTGATGTCCACCACAAAGTACCTGCATGCAAAACCACAAGGGACGTGCCGGTTGACAACACAACGGACAACTCGAGTAGGCCTAGGGCCAGATGACGGTGCAATAAAAATACACACATCTCGTTGTCTTTCTCCAAGAAACGCCTAGGAAATGACAAGGACAAAGCAACCCTATGCACACAGAACTGCGCTTGGCACAGATTCCTCCTCCCCACCTCTCTAGCCCCTGAGCTGACCTGTCATCGTGGCCGCCTTGTCTTAGAATGTCCACGTTGAAAGCATGCAGGCGCAGGTGCTTGCGCAGCGTGAGTCCAAGATCGTGCATGAGGGCGGGCGGGGGGTCAGTGACCCTGGTGTCCTGCAGCTCCTCCTCGCTCATGTGCACGTTGGAGATGCGGTTGAACTCCACCACGCCCACTCCCTGCGAGCAAACAGATGCCATGCATGCATGCATGCATGCACCACACATTGTGCACACAGCAAATGCCATACGGAACCCACAGATGGAAGAATGAGCCTGGCTGTGTGCACTTAGCGATGCTTGTGAAGCGAGGCCAGAGAGGGTGCGGGGTGCAGGAGATGCACTGAGGATCTCCAAGGACGAGCAAAGCATGCGAGTGAATGAGTGAGAGGGTGGGTGAGTGAGTGAGTGGATGGGTGGGTGGGTGAGTGATTGCTTGAGTGAAAACCGTTGGCTACTAAGTCAAAGGAACCAGATGAAACGAGTTTTGAGCAAGCAGAAGAAGGCACGGCGGTCCCTCCCACATAGGCCGCATTTCCTTCCCTGGAATTAGGGTTCCCACCACCAACCTTGCGCAGGAAGTCCCATTTCCCCGCCTTGGGGCTCGGAACCTCCATGGGCAGCGGCGCCACGTCAGAATCGTCCGCAGCGGGCGCCCAGAGTTCAGGCGGGGGGATATCAGGCAGGGACTGACGGCGGAAGACCATGATCTTGTCGCCCAGCACGTAGAGCTTGAAGAGGATGCCGCCGTGGTTCACAAACTCCTGCAGCAGCACGGGCGCCTGCACCTGCAGCAGCGACTGCTCGTCCAGCACGAGCCCCAGTGTGTGCGAGCTCGTTGTTCCGTTCGCCTCCAGGGGCTTCGCTACCGCCGGCAGGGAGAAACCCGCGTCTGACAGGAGGAGCGGGCGGGGGCGGGGCAGGAGAGGCAGGGTGAGGTGGGCAGGCGGGGCAGGGGGGGAATGGGCAAGAGGGGCAGGGACAGGCAAGGTGCACAGAATAGCAAGAGCAGTGCAAGGGGGGCGGGTGCTACTATGGTTCAGTTTCAGCCGTCGTGTCCTTCCTCTCCGCCTTTACAACCGAAGTCTCTCGCGCAACTGCAGTGAACTCAACAGTTTGCTGCTAAGAATAATGAACGGCGCGGAACCGCCATCATTCCCATGGTGAGCCTGGACCTAGTGTCTCACCCAAGGTGAAAAGACAATCTTAACCCTCGCCTCGCCCCTCAGTAGAGTTGAGGCACCTCAAAACTAAACACAGTTTTAATCGTCGTTTCGTCTCTCACCTTGTAATATCTTGGCGATGTCCTGGGACGGCGTGCCGCGCTCGATGATGATCTGATTGGGCACGTGCACCTGCGCGCCGTGCTCGGACGCGTCCACGTGGCTAACGGCCGCGAGCATCTCGCGGCGGTCGTCCAGCTTGTGCACGTTCTCGTACTCGTCGATCACCACCACCTCCGGGTGCTGCCGCTCGTACGCCCCTAGATTCGCCGCCCACTCCTCGCCCTGAAAGGAACGCGGAGAAGAGGAAGGGAAGGAGGGAAAGGGGGTAAGAGAGAGGGAGAGAGGAGGAGACGGGAGAGATTTTTGGGGAGAGCGGAGGGGTTGTGGTGGTTCAAGGAAGAGGGTGGTTGGGGGAGATGGGGGGTGGAATAGTGGGTGCGTAAGAAATCCCATACTTCGGTGTGCCTTACTCTTTCTTGTTTTCACATAAGACGCGGTTACATGCAGTCAGCCTTCAAGTTCTTGAATAGTTCTTACGACGGAAACGAACGCAATAGTTCTTTCGAAGCGAACGAACTAGTAGTTCTTCGCATTTGGACACAAGAAGCTCGTAAAATGCCGTTGGCGTCCCGAGCAGCGCATGAGTTCTGAGGCGTCTCAAAGCTCGATGTCGTCAGCATAAAGAAGCAGCACAGGCGAGACGATAAAGCAGATCTTACGTCAAGTTTGTGCAGGATCATGTTGAAAGGCCCTTGATCAACCAACGGACGGCTCGGATCAATCTCCACAAATTCGACACCGCATGTCTGAGCGTGTGCTAGTAGCTCGGGTTGCATGAAACTCGCTATTCTCTTGGGCCGTAGCGCGTATCCCACCATAATTCGCTCGCCCACCACGCCATTCCCAGCAGCAATCTCCTCTGTCATTGTAATGCGTATTTTCAGAACCAGGTGATTTTCTCGGGTGTAGGGACAGTGGGTACGCGCTTATTGCGTTTCGACGCCTGTGTCCGTGCTCGAGAGAGTGACGGGAAGAAGGATGTGATGCGAGAAATAAGAGCTGTGTTGGAAAGGCTAACTCTCTTGGCAGCTTTGTGGGAATGCTCGAGGTTTCCTGCTACAAATTTGGAAAGAAGTAAATAGATTACTTATTTGAAAGTTCAGGACATTATATGTACAGTTTGAGCAAATCCCTTGGACAGCCAAGTGAGTCAGCATGGAAGGTTAGACAGGTCAGTCAAAGCGCAGGGTGATCCCAGAATTCCGTTCATCCAATCCGATCCGACGACGGTGTTGGTAACCTGGGAACCGTGGAGGTGGTGCTGACTGCTGTGAAGGTCCTCCTTCCGTTGCTCTCCAAGGCACAGCATGCGTCGGGTCGCGCGGAACCATGCCATTGACTGCCCGCTTCGCTGTGGTGGAACGATCGAACGGTACGCTTCCTTCGCGGTGCCATGCGGTGTGGGCGAGGGAAAATCTTGCGAAAGAACTGATTCGTTCACGACACGACACGACTCGACACGACACGACAGGACGACGAATGAAACGGGTGAGCTGAGGTACTGACAGTTCCCGGAAGCAACCCTGTGCCCCCCGGGATTTTGATGCGCACGTAAATTCTCGGGCTATTTTCAGGTGGATGCAACTTAATCTAGCAACTGCACTCAACTGCATACCATGTTATTGGGCAG